TAACCTCACTTCACTTTGTCCTTGGAGAACAAGAAGGAAATCGGTTTTTGAACAAGCAGACAAAAAAAACCCCACCAAAAACATCTTCATATGATACAGATATCAAAAAGGGTAAGTGCACAGGGCAGAAAGAATTCCCTGCCCCCAGCCTCAATCTCCTGCCCTTGAGAAACTGAAGAAAATCTGGAGAGAAAAAATATCCCCCTTAGTGGTCTTTACCACAGAGATTAGGGGAAATTCCTATAGTATCTCCCAGAAATCCTCCCCAGACACTGCCCCACCAATTTCACAGCATCTCCTGCCCTAGGCAATACTGACCACCCAATAGGCTTATGCCCCAAACCAAGCTTTTGTTATTCTCATCTTCCTCCTCAAAGACCCACCCCTACTCAGAAATGCTTTTCCTACCCCATCCTGGCCGCACCTTATTTGTAGCTCCTGGGCCCCCCATCCTGCTTGCGCCTGATCTTACTTTTCACGCCGAGTTCTCCCGTGGTTTGTATGCCAAACAGCACTGATTTCTTTCTGACCTTCCTCACATCCTCGTTTTCCATTAGCTGCCTTTCCATATTTTCCTCATTGGTTCTTCACGCTTTCTCAGACCACCATGTGATTTGAGAAAGCCTGTAGAAATGACAAGAAACCCACAGAAGGGTAACGAATGGGAAAATGAGGATGCAAGGAAGTTCTGAGAGAAAACGTTGCAGGCCGCCATCCAACCCATGGGAAAACCTCTTTGTGAAGAAAATTTGATGTACTTTGGGAATTCTCTAGGGAAGGACGGCACCCCGGCCACAGTTCTTTCCAGCGCCAAGTGCTCCACTGGTGATATTGTTGTAATGTTCCTATTCAAAGAGGAGCGGCTGCCAATCACTCACACAAAACGCGGCCCTCATTTCTCTTACCTTCCACCCCACTGTAAGCCGATGGCTGGCAAACCTCCTGGTTTTCTTTCTTGGGCTTCATGGGGCACCAGGAGCCGTCTTCCATGAACTGGATCTCATCGCAGTCTGTGACCGAGTTGAGGATTTCCATGAACAAACTGGATGAAACAGAACAAAACAGAAATCACCTGAAACTGGGAAAGCTCCCTAAAGAGGTGCTTGGGAAATTTGGTGGGGAAGGAGGAGGGGGCAGGTGATGGCAGGAGGTGTTCTTCTTTAGAACATTCCTGCATTCAAGGAGCCCTTTCCCCCATTCTACTTTGCCTGCCAAGAAACCCTCACCTATTTGTGGCAAAGAACTCTTGAGATACGATCGAGTCACAAACAGCACCAGCCTGGCCCTCTGAGCCTCACTTTGTTCACTGCTACCATTGTTACTTTGCTTTACTTAAAACTTTCTTTAAAAAAAACAACAACTCTAGGCCCACAAATCAAATTGCCATTTGTGATTAAATAAATTATGGGAAATATGCATATGGATACATGGAGCTGCCTTAGACTGAGTCGGACCACTGGCTGAAGTCTTTCCCATCACCTGCTTCCTGGTCCTTTTGGCAGAAAAGGCTGGGGAAAAGCACCTGGGACCTTCTGCATGCAAAGCAGACGCTCTACCGCTGAGTCACAGCCCCTCCCCACTACGACCAAATATTCACTTCCTGTGCATAATTCCTTCTGTTTCCAAGAGTCACAGTGCTGGGCACGGAGGCTCCATTCCCAGATCAGTGGCATCTTGTTCACTGTCCCCATGGACATGTGGGCAGCCTGTTACAGCTGAAGCCGCAGACTGTTCCAAGACCAGCTCTGTGCAAGCCCCGGTCTCGTTGTGAATGAAAGCACAGAGAGGGCAATCAGCAATGGCATAATCGTTCGATCTGCATAGTTTATACAGGCCCTGCTTCTCCTGGTGCCTCTTTATGGCACGGAGACAACGCTAAAGCCGACAGCCTCCCTAAGGCAGAGAGTACGGTGGGACTGCAAAGGCCTGGCCTACATCGGGGTTACCCGTCAATGATCAGGGCTTCGTAGGGGGCCTTCTTGTCACAAACGGGGCAGGTCCACGTTGGCTTCTTCTCGTTCATCTGAAGGTAAAGGGCTGCGTCAAAGCACTGGAGGTGAGTGCAGGTGTAGGCTCGACAAGGGACAGTCAGCTTCATCTTGCCCAGCTGGAAGGAAGGAAGGAATGGATGAGTTGGCTAGAAATGGTTCAAACCCCCACGCTTTTTGCCTGTTATTGCCAAGTTCCTGAAACAAAAGCCCTGTCATTCTATCTAGGAGGACTCACAACGAGTCTTAGGACAAACGGAAAATCTCCTATAAAACAAGGTAAATCAAATGCCTTCATCCCTTCGTGCTCAACCAATGTAACACTTGAGAGCAGAGACCCCTCCTCAACCCACGCTGCAGTTTAAATCTCCCCTCCTCATCCACCACTTGATAGGAACCCAGTGGTAACCCACCTGGTAGGCAGCTCTGGGTGCCATTATGTCTAATAGGGCCCTTAGGAGGCAAGCCCTTGGAAGCAGGGACCCGCCCTTGCTGCTTACGTTAATAGCGCAAACCACCGAGTGAAGTTCACTGCCCGACCAAGAAATAAGGAGAGTGTTCAGCCCTGAGTCTTGTCTCACTTTTGGGACTTGCAGCAAGAACTAGGGCAGCTCTTCCTAGCTTTTTTTTGCTATGCAGAGTACAGGCTCCATCCCCCCCAAAATTAAAGCTGCAGATACAGGCATCCATCACTACCAACATTCCTTACAATTGAAAGACAGTACTATTGAGAGGAGCCCCACCCCACTTTTTGCCTAGCTAGAAGAGCTCAGACATGGGATCGCATTCTCTGGGCAACAGAGACGTTTCTAGGCTCACCCCCTGGTACAGGTTGCATCGGAGACTCCTGGGGGACCCTTCCTACCTACAGTGATAAACACACACACACACACACACACACACACATACAAGCTGCATGGCCTTTGCAAGTGCAAAAGAGCCCAGTGAATGCTGGAGCCTGGGATCCATGATGGGACTGTGCTTTCTGGGCAATGGGGCTGCTTCTCCATCTGATGTCTTGCCTCTCAGCTATCACACGGGCTGTATAAGGGACTCCTGGCAAGTCCTCTTTCCCCAGCCAGGCAAGGGTCAGAGACAGAATCAGATTTTCTGGGCAATGGAGACACTTCTGGAACTGCACTATGCTTGTGTGTTGCAATCATGGCTTGCACCAAGGAGACCATGGTGGGTCCTTATTCCCATGAGACGATGCCACTGTCCATCTGTTAATGGGAATAATAGTGTGCCATCAAGTCACAACTGACTCATGGTGACCCGAGCACCATGGGGTTTTCAAGACAAGAGACGAGCAGAGGTGGTCTGCCATTGACTTCCTCTGTATAGCAACCCCGGTCTTCCCTTGGCGGTTTCCCAACCGAGTGTCAAACCGTGGCTGACCCTGCTTAGCTCCCAGCCTCTGACGAGATCAATAGTCTACACTCCTGCCACCTCCTCTCCTGCTCCGGTGCATCCAATGCGGTGGCTTAGTCTGCCAAGGCATGCCTCAGATCCCCTCAATGTGGGTGGCAGCACCGTCAGGGGACTGACGCAATCCATTTTTATGCCCTGAAACTCCACCGATAAGAGACAAAAAGGAACGACCCAAGCCACAAACGTACCGGGCACATGAGAGAAACGCGTAAACTTGTCGTTGCAATCTCGCTGTCGGGATCCGCCGTTAACTTTTCTTTGACTGCGAGGAGGAGAAACAGAGCAGGTCACTCGGGATTAGGAAGCACAGCATGCCCTTTACCTAGATGGTTGGCCTGGGTGGGTGGTGACCTGACCTAAGATGGGTCACAACAGAAACACTATTTACTTACTTCACTTATGCCACACCTTCCCCCCCTAAAGCAGCTTACGTCGTTCTCTCCACCTCCATTTTATTTTCACAACAACCCTCTGAGGTAGGAGAGACTGAGAGTGCATGACTAGCTCAAGAGCACTCTGCAAAATTCCATGGCCCAATGTGAATTTGGCCCAGGTCCTAGCCCAGCACACTCTAACCTCTATTGCCAGCATATTTTTTGCTGTTGTTGTTGTTAATGGGTTTCACAGGGGGGGGGGGAGGCAGACAATGAAAAACTGACAACTAACAGTTACCGTCTCTATAACTTTTCAAGTGTGCCACATATGTCATCTTTCTGTAATGCTCACAACAACCCTGTAATGTAGCTCTGTATTATTATCACATTGCAAATTTTTTTTGGGGGGGGGGGTGAGAGAAAGGGGTTTTTGCCGAAGGCCACCTCTGCCAAGTCTCATTGTACTTATAGTACAAGTGGAACTCGTGTTGTAGGCCAGAATTAACCATCCCAGGTGACTAACCTAAACTATCCTTGTTTAGCTTGGCCGAGCCATAAACCCAGCCTCTCACCTTATTATCTCGTTTATGGCGAGGGGCCTTGGTGAGCATGCACGAGGTCCCAAGTTCAAGACCCGGCATCTCCATTTAAATGCTATCAGGAAAGAACCAAGAGCCTCTGCCAGACAGCAGAGACAGCGGCAGCCTCCTTCAGCCTGGGGGATGCGGCTGTCGCAAGCATTTCCCCTAAATGCCTGGACAGAGCTAGCAAAGGGAAGAATGGGGTTTTGCTGCCACCCTATGCAAAAAAGGGAGGGGAAGAACAGGGTCGCAGCAGGGAACCTATCCCCTTCCCTACCACACAGGCAACTCTGAGCTCCTCAAGTTCAACCTTTGTCCAGGCTGACACTCATCATCACAGTATTCCATTCGCATCAGCTGAATGCAGAAGCCTGGAAGTAGCTAGCCGGGACGTTCCCTGAACAAGGAAGCAAGGAAAAACAAGGAGAGCGTACAGAGCGGGCCGAGGCTATCAGCTGGCTATCAAACGGCACTGCCTTTAAATCTCAAAGGTGGAGGGGACAGAGGAGAGAGCGGCTCTCGGCACATGCTCAGCAGCTTACTCTCCTGGCCTGCTTCTTCGCATGGGGTGGGGAGAGTTGACAAAGAGAAAATTTTCTCCCTCTCCCAAAATACTAGAACTAATGGACATCAAATGAAGCTGATGGGCAGTAGGCTCAGCTTAGAGAGAACACCGACTGCCAGCATTTGTTGTTGTTGTTGTTAATGGGTTTCAGAGGTGGGGGCAGGCAGACAATGAAAAACTGACAACTAACAGTAGGCTCAAGTGGGCAGTAGGCTCAAGAAGGACATACTTCTTTACACAGAGAGTGTTTAAAAT